AGAGAGAGAGAGAGAGGAAACAAAAACAACAAAAAAGAGACAACGAGCCCGTCGCCCTGGCCTTCCCAACCTAAGTTGTCTGATCGCACACTGTCCTCCAGGGTGGAGGCTTCCCGAAGTCGGCAGCCGCTCTGCCGAATCTGAAAGTGAAGCTGGGAGAGCAAGGGAGCTAGACGCCATAGAATATACAATACACAACATGGGAGTTTACAAAAATTAGGGTACCTTATTTTGGGGTCCCTATAATAAGGGTCCTACTATTTAGGGTACTATATTAGGGTCCCCTATTTTCGGAAACCCCCTCATCCATCCGGGAAATATGCAGCATTTCATGCGCAGAAAACACTCGTATCTGCGTGTCGATGAGACGGTGGAATGTTCAAAACCCATGTTCTGGTCGGGCACCCTGGAATCACCTGGCTGGGTTGACTGGCATGCCCTGAAGAGCTCTCATGTTCAACTCGTCCTCTTGATGGAAGTATCAAAAATTCTGCGAAACGCTGCGGCCATACGTAGAGCAGGATCATGCATAACTGCAGAACCATTCAAAACATGCAAGGGTGCATCTGGAAATACCTAGTCCCGGATGCCTTTACACCCTGACACCCTCCAAGGCTGCAACTCCCTCTGCACCCTAAACCTTACACCCCAAACACTAAATACCACCCAGCAAGTCTAAACCCAAACTCGGACACCCCACCAAACCCTAAACCCTAAACCCTAAACCCCTAAACCCCTAAACCCTAAACCCTCGAAAGCACTCTTCTTCAAAGCCATGGCTCGAGAAAATCTAGGCGGCAATTCAAGGCTTGTTGGGCCTGCCATTTCACCTGCTTCCCGAAGGGTTCCGATTACCTAAACTGTGTGAGTGAGGTCTTAGGTACACGGGAGTAGATCTTAATGAGAAACAGTTTGAAAGGGGATATATGGCCAGTAGCCAACTACAAGTTCGTATCTCATAGCTGCTGAGCTAAGTCTCAATCGCCTCTGACTTTGTGATTTGGAGCTTCGGATCGGGGCTTCTGCAGTGTAGAGCTTGGGACTGCAGATTTGGCACGTGAACTCTATGATTCAGGAAGCTGACCGATGTTAAGTTACAGGGATCAAGAGCGTTCAGGGTTGTACACCGTGCAAGCGACTGAGAAGCTGTGGATCCCGCCCGTTACCAGGAACATGAACTTGGAAGTGTAGCATCCACGTGGCTACAGTTTCCCGCCCATTGGGACAGCTTCAAACTGAAAGTCCCCGAACATTGAAGCTGAGAGTGCTCCCGGATGCCTCGTAAAGCGGCGTGTTCGGGAGCACCTGGGCGGTGATTTCTTGCTACTTGTGTAAAAGGACACCTATAACAAAAATACACAATTCGGCATCGCAACCCAAAACCAATATCATGTTCTCGACTATTAAAGGTTTCCGTGTTCCCATACACACACATCTTTCGAGAGACACAGAGAGATACCCAAACGGTATCAGTCGTAAACCGCCTCACGCTCCATAATGCCAATGCAGGCCTTCAGAATCATATTCATACCGTATTACGATCTACTATAATCTGATTTTCTACATTTTACTTTGCTATACTATGCTATGCTATGCTGTTATACTAGACTACAAAAGATCAGAATAGACCAGACTATGCTGAACTATACTGTTCTAAACTATACTGTACTGTACTATACAGCATACTGTGCTGTACGATACTATGCCATGCTGTACACTGTTTACTTCGCTTTATTGCATGTAGTGTACTTTACTGTATACTGTACTATAAACAAATATACTGTAGTGGAACGAAAAGGCTCACCAGCCGCGGCTTCGATAACGAACCTTGGCATCCAAACCCCGTCAAAAATACTTGAAACATAATGAAACTGTGCACAACCCAGACAAACCTCCTTCCTGCGTCGCACCTTGACAGTGGCTGCCTGGCCACTCAGCAGCGCCACATGCAAAGATTGCTCCATGGCGTTTTGCCGAAAGCTGGCTGCCTCTAGCCAAACACACAGTGCCCTTTGTCTGTCTGTGTGTCTGTCTCTTTTTGTGTGCTTGTGTGTGTGTGTGTGCAAATGGAAGCTTTCAAGTTGCATTTTTGGCTTGAGCGGCATGGCCGGCCACAATTATACGACTTGGCACCAGAGCGTGACAGCGCCCTATGCTAACACAAATCATATGAGCCGGAAATGTCTGTGACACAGCGTGTGCCATAAATGAGAAAACAGGTTGGCTTCCACATCGCGCAGGCCATCGAAGTAAAAATGCACGGTGTGTTCCATTGGCTCTTCATGTGCTTTTCACTCTGTGATTTTCCATATAATCTGAAACAGCCACAGCTTGGACGGAGCATGCAACGGGTCCTGGAAGGCATTTACATCAAAACTCACAACACATACATGCCGTTCTACAGTGGGACATGTGCGGGGAAGGGCTCCGCGCAGGGCAAGTCAGGACCTTCCCGTGCTGGCACTTGGCCACTGCAGCTCCTGTGGGCCACATCTGCATGTAGACCACGCGATGCGAGGAAACAGCATTGGTCGAGATCGATCCATATATTGCGAACGACATCCAGAAACAAAGACCGACTCCTACGTAGAGCATGTCCAGCTTCGTGCGAGTCGCGGGCAGCTCATGTTCAGGCACAGCCGGACGATCCCTGGTGGCCATGACTTCCATCACTACGATAGTCATCGAAAGGATCGCCGTCATCATCCTTGCACCATTGCAGGCAAGGAGGCACCAGTTTTTCTCAAGCCAGCAGCCCACTGCCGGAAAAGCGCCGCATGGGTCAGGGGGTAGCAGAGCGAATAGCCGTGGAGCTGGATCGGAAATGAGCGCACCAGGGCCGGAGTATGTCCTCGATGTATGCAGCTAACCAAGTACGAACCCAAACTAGCAGCGTCGTTGGTGGTGGTGGTCTCCAGATGCGAGGTCGCCACGTTGAATTCGGCAGCTCGCAGGGCGAGAACATGCGCTAAAAGCAGCAGACACACACTTCTGCTGGCAGAGGCTTCCTGCACCCGGCGTTTGCTGCTTCACGGCATCCCGGCCTTGGGCAAAAGGCGGGGAGCCATTCGGGCTCGTGCATGGATCTTCGTGAACTGTTTGCGTGCAGATGCAAAGGACAAGTGCAAACATCACATAAACTATCACATTATGAAGACTGTCGAATGTTACTGCCCACCAGCGCATGCTACTGGAACGTTCAGCAAGGATAAAACACATGTTTACAAGGATCGCTGTCGCTATAACTCATCTGTTCTGGCATCACCATCATCATCATCATCATCACCATCATCAACAGCATCGCAGTAGCGTCGTCATCACCATCACCGTGGTGATCATCCTCATATTCATCTTCACATGCATCATCCGCGGCCCCATCATCGAAAACGTCACAATCAACAACATAATGAGCAGCATGGAGGGCCATGATCACTATCACAACCATAACTTTCATCGTCATGGTCAGGATCACCATCACCTCAACAACAGCAACACCATGATTCAATTACAATTGGCATCACCGTTGGTATTGTCATCATCATCGACATGAAGAGCACCAAACGCCGTTGGCCGCATTGGCACCATCAGTGCGAATGCCAAACATTGCATTCTTTTCAAACGGCCATGGACCTCTTCATTGTGTTCATGACGGGAAAGAAGAAGATGATGGTGGTGGAGATTTGTATAAAGCAAACGTAAGACAATGTTGATGAGCATCGTCACCCCACGGCCGCCGCCATCACCGGGAACGCCACCAAACCCAGCACCATCAGCTTCCTCGTCAACATAAGCTTAATCGTCTTTGTGCTCGCGGTGGTGGTCCCGATCTTCATCGTTGCTCCCTGCTGCCCCACGGTCCTCCGCCCGATGATTGTTGATTTCCCAAGTGCCATGGTCCGGAGTAGTCGGAGTCGTCGTCGTTGTAGTCGCAGTCGATTGCAGTCGCCGTCCTTTTCGCGGTCGTCGTCGTCGTCGTCCGTGCGCGCCGCAGTGGTGGTACAGGGGAGCTGAAGCACTCCCGCTGTTTATCATAGCGAAGGCAACTTTGACAGCTGGACTAGAAGTGATCTTGGAAAACTATTTATAAGAACACACATCCTTACAACGACGGGGGATGTGAGCATCTATAGCCCTGCCATCCGTGATGGGGCTACCACTGTGACTCCATGCGGGCTCGCTTTCCGACACCTTCTGTGCTGTCTCTGCTTGCTCAACCCTTTACACCAAAGTCCCAACCCTGCAGCTGCAATGCTTGCAAGCCAAACAACCGAAATACGACGCCAACACACCAACTTTAACGGTAGTCCAAGCCCCAGGCGAAACGTCAATTTATACGGCACCTGCAAGCAACGCGGCATCCAGATGAAGATCAAATAGTTCTGAAGTAAGTTTCCGAAGCACCATCAGCAATATAAGGGGGACAGTCAGCGAAGCTCGCAGCTGCTGATAAATTTCTAGCTACTTGTAGGCACATCGAACTGCTGCCACATGATATTGCATCCGCATCGGCGCCAAACAGACAAGAACTACTGCGAAAACAAGACACAACTTCTCCCCCAAGCCCATGTATGAATCATGAGCTGCCGTGCACGGAGAACGCCACAGAAATCCGTTGAAACGTCTCGCCTCAGCCGCGCGCATTCGCCATGCAGCAAAGTTCGGCGATGAAGCCTCCGACTGCGGGTCGATGTCATGAGGTTTGCTTCGTCACCTACACCCGAAGATCCAGTCTTGCAATCAATGAACTACAAGTTACTGCTGGGCCGCGCGAAGGACAGGTAAGGAGTACTCAGAATCTCAAAAGAGGCCCGTCTCCCTTCTCGATGACACCTGGGGCGGATCAAATTGCACTGACCCTCAAGAATCTCGCTGCAGGAGGCAAGCAGCAACGTATCTTTGGCGGTTTGCGGTGGGGGTGATCTCCAGCCCCATATAAAGTCGGATCGAAAGCTTGCGTTCCCTTCGAGGGAGCTGCCAAACGGACACAGAAGGCCATGAAACAAGAAGCAAGTGCAACTATACCGACAAAGTGATAAAATTCTCTGGCCATCGCTAGTACATTTGCACCCTTTGAAGGCCAAAGTGGTAGCACATGCATATGCCCGAGCACTCGGGGCAACCACGAGCAGCCCAGGGTTTCTTCGTGCCGGGCCTGAGCAAATGGCTTAATTATTGTTTAGGAGTTAGGGTTTAGGGTTTAGGGGTTTAGGGGTTTAGGATTTAGGGTTTAGGAATGCATAGGATTTAAGGCTTAATGTTTATAGTGTTTAGGTTTAAGGCTTATAGGGTTCTGGTAACGTCCTTTCCACATCCCGCGCAACACTGTAAAAAGCTACCCTGTGAAGGGGTTTAGCATAGTATGGCCGCGAGGGGTGCAAGACGCTTTTCACATTGGCATGATTCCAAACCGCCCGGAGATGGAAAGCCTCTTTTAGAGCATATAGGGATAAGAGGGTCGAGGCTTTCTCAACGCCTCTGTCTCGGAACACCATCTATAGAATGAATGACTCTATATAGCTCAAAACAAGCAAGTTGGAAACAAACAAAAACTCAACTTGCCCGGCCTCAGTGGACTTGACGATGTTTGTCTGAAAAGGTCGCCAGCTGCCTGCAGCTCACTGCCAATTAAGAGTGCCGATCTCCTTGCTGCGATTGGGTGCATCCGGCGCCTGAGCAAGGGGCACTAGCGACAGTTCCTAATCGAGGGCCTGTCCTACAAAGAGGGCGCAGGAATAAGACCCGAAGTGTCGATGCTGAACAGTGCCAGGCCACAGGCTCGTTTGTGGCATTTTCACTTGCGGATTCCTGATTCGCCGGTCTCTGGGCGGGCCGGCGGCGATTGTTGCGGTTGCCCCGGCCCCTGGGCCGATGCTGTCCGTAGCCATCGGCCCAGGCCCAATATTCGGCGTAGCTGGGGTAGCCCCACCAGGCACCAGCCCATGCCTGGTCCCAATTGTTCGCATCAGGATCCCACCTCAGCATTCAGACCCCCTTTTCTAACGGTCTGAAATAACAGTGCAGCAGACACATAAAGTAGGACGACGACGTCATGCCTAAAGACTGCAGGGGTATGCGCCATTGCACTCACGTACTTCGGGGGTATGCGCCATTGCACTCACGTACTTCGCTAGAGTTCTTGCCAAGCCACCACCCTTCTGCATAACGGAGCTGGTGCTGCTGGTTGGCCTGGGGTTTGCCTTTTTTACCCTTTCCGCCCTTTCCCTTGTCCTCCACCTTGCCAGTGCCCTTAGGGCCCTTGCCTTGGCTGGAGCTGGGGTGGTTCTCAGCAACTCCGGCGATGCTGCCGGAACTACTGCGACGGCTTTCGCCTCCGGAGCTCTCTTCTGCATCTGCCACATGTTGCTTGGGAAGGCGGTCGCTGTCGCTGGTTGGGGATGGCGATGGAGGATTCGGAGGATCCTCCGCCTTGCTCTGGGAAGACACAGTCTGGCAGGCTTGGGCTTGGACCTCCGGCCGGGGCTCGGAGGGGTACTGAGCTGTGCGCTGCTGGGGCGGTTGGAGGGCGGGAGCTGCAAATTGCGGTGGCGGCGGAGGTGCTGTGTTCACTGTGCCAACGGGGCTTGTGCTTGTCATTGTGCCTGCTTGCATGAGCAGAACGCTCTGAACGATAGGATGGCACCAAGCGGGAGGAGCGGGGCTACAAGGTTTGCTGCCAGGCACGGGATGCAGAAACCGTTGCCAGACCGAGTAGGTCACATTCGGAAACTCGCTGCCATGGGCTGCAAGCGAGATGTCCTGTGCAAGAGAAGGCGCCAAATAAGGTGCACAGCAAATCACGTCGCGCATCATGTGGACATCGTCCAATGCCTGATGTGCTCGCAGCCCAGCCGCCCTCTGCTCCGGCACGAAATTTGTATGCATCTGCTTTAGCATCAGACCACCGGGCTGGCCGTAGAGTCGCTGAATCTCGTGGTTGTTGAACCTCTTCTTCCTGAGAAGTCAGGGAACTTACAAGCGGAAGAACGCAAAGCGCTGGTCCCACGGGGTTCTCAGAGCCATCGCGCAATGTCTCTCTTGTAAGTCACATTGACAGCATGTGCCTGTGCATGTGCGTGTGCAAGTGTAAGTGTAACTGTAATTACCTGTATGTGTGTGTGTATGCCTACACATAAAATATGTACACGTACATGTACATATATGTTTAGATGTGTATATATATATATATATATATATTTATACAAATAAACCCTAAACCCTAAATATAGGTACGAAATCGGCAAGGACAGTGGAACGCTTGCACAAGCTCGGCCCAGGGCAACATTTATTTCAGCAGCCCTGCTTGCCCTTGACAGACTCCGTGCTTTGCTTAGGGTCAGGGTCTAGGGTTTAGGGTTTAGGGCCCTGGCGTCTTTAAACCCTAAACCCCTAAACCCTAAGCCCTAAAACCCTAAGCCCTAAACCCTAAACCCTATAACCCTATAACCCTAAACCCTAAAACCCTAAACCCTAAACTCTAAACCCCTGTAAGAGGGCGGAAGCCCATAGTTCATCTTCCAAAAGCTCCAAGTCTTGAGGCCTCTTACGACTATAGATATGCCAGAGCCCCGGGCTGGGGTTTGCTTTCGAGGTTTAGGATTTCGGAGACATCTCGACCGTGATGGAATGTGGCAACCTGCCGTCTCCATTGTAGTTGCTTTTTCTGGGTTGCCTTATAGGATCCTAGCTATAGAATGGGTTAAACCAAAAAGAGGAACTACAATTAAGGCTATAGGTAGAGTTGGGGGCTTCGCGGGTTTTGGGATGCGGACATACGGAAACTTGAAGTCCTCTATATTCTCGCGCTGCTGTGCCTGAAGGGCTGTTCTACATTCTTCATCATAACTGTTGCTGACTAGGTGTTGTACATCATATCGCTTATTATGTTCAGTGCCAACATACTACAATCATCTGTCGCCGTGACTGTTCCTCGCTCTGCAGATCATTACCTCGTTTCGATGGCTGGGCCGCTGGAAACTCTGTTTGCCGTAGGGAGCGCACATGCCACTCGACCTTCTGATCCCTAACCCCAAACCCGAGACTGAAGCAGCTCTGCAACTCTGTCAATGTAGGAAAGCTTGGGCAGCTCCCGGACTGTTCAAAGCGGTGAGATAATGTAGGGGCCTGAATAATTACCTATACTATTTTTTTTTGGGGGGGGGTCCTTATGGGCCCCAAAACCTTATTCTGATTGTTAAGGCCCTTTGTTACTCCAATCCAAGACGAGGGCCGTACGACTGACTGATGGAAGCCGCACGGGTGCAATGTAGCTAGCATGCCCAAGGCACCATCTTGCACAAGTCCTGGGCCTCGCACTCCATACAAACGTCCTGACCCCTAAACCCGAAGCACGTTCTTCCGCAGTTCTCCCAACATGCGTTGGCGCAGCATGGACCGCTAAATCCAAAATCCTGGACCCTATAAGAACCTGAAGCACTACTGTCACTACTGTAAGACCCTAAACTGTTCATTCACCCCAGTTCCCTGCTATACTTATAGTGTAATGGGCCCCAAATTAAGGCCCCTATACCATACCGCTATGTAGAACCCTTACGGAGCCCATTAAAGCATTTTTTATAGAACCCTTTCAAAGGGAGCCCCAAAGCCCTATTCTAATTATTAAGGCCCCTACATAACTCTGCCGAGGAGGCCAATGATCAGTGCATGGCCCCTCGCTCGGCAGAGGAGGCGGAGCAACAGCGGCTACAGGCAGCGTGAGCTCACGGGTGTCAGGGGGGTTTAGGGTTTAGGACCAGGGTTTAGAGTTCAGGGTTAGGGGAGGTTGGGAGTCTGGGTGTAGGGTTGTGTAGGAGGGATCGTTGCGGTTCTGAAAACTGTGATCCCCAGTTTAGGTGATTTTCATGATAGTTATGCATCATACTGAGCAGTCTGTATGTTCGCTGAAACTCCGGTGTGTGTTGTGGGTTGGGGGCCACGCTGTTCTTACGTAAACTCTGATAGTTCTCGGCAGAACGAAATCTAAACGTTGTTGCAGTCTGGTGTTGGTGTAACATACCCAAATGCTTGTGCTTACTTCAGACAGAGGTCTTAACAATGTTAAAGGAGTTGTGGGTACATGATGGTGTATTCATAATATAGATTATAGGGGAAATGCTGTTACCAAGCATTCCGACCGCATTATGACCGAGTCTCCTACAGCGGTCGGTTCAGGGCTTCCCGGGGTTTGGGGGGCTGAAAGAACACTGAAAGGGTTCTTTTGTGTAGTTTCTGGTGCAGAAGATGGGTTTTAGGTTAGGACCATTTTGCGATTAGGGTTTCGAAAATTTAGGGTTTAGGGTTTAGGGGTCTACTAGAGCTTTACGTTTAGCGGTTTAGTATGCCAGTGCCGAAAGAGGGGGGATCAAGGTTGCAAGTGGCGCGCAGGGTTTAGGGTGTAGGGTTGGCTAAAGACCCGATAAGCCCCTGAAAGGAACCCTTAACGGATCTTAACTGACGCTGTTCACATGCTCTAAGATAACCTGGCACGTAGTCCTGCAATTGAATTCCCTGGGAAGCCTCCCGTCCTCACTGAACTTCCAATGCCTGCCGGTTTAGGATGTAGGGTTGGGGTTTCCCGTCCTCACCGAAAGGTGAACCGTGCCCCTGTCAAAGGTAGCTGACTATGTCAAAAATGGTCTGCAGGGCGAGGTTGTGCTTGGCTCTGAGCATACATGCAGCTTCTGATATCTGCCCTGGAGCAAGGACTTGGCCCGATGTCTTTCTAGTATTAAGGAATTTTATTGATGCCATGAACATGATTCTAACATAATGACTAGATTCAGAATAACATATATATATATATATATATATATGTGTGTGTGTGTGTGTGCGTGTGTGTGTGTGTATGATTGTGTTAAGTCATGCAAGCTGCTCAGCTGTGATTTTTTTGCAAGCATTGAGCTTCACAGTCTCGACGACCGCGATTGCCATGAGAGGTCATAGTCATAGTCGTCTCTACAGCATACAGCCGTGGCAATGGGAGCAGGCAACCTTATCCCGTAAAGCCCTAAATGACGATCCGCAAATCCTAGCGCCGAACTACGGGGGTTTCTTAAAGTATGGTAGAATGTACCTCCCCCAACCCCCATTCTAGTTATGAAGGCGCCTACATTGCCCGTAAACTCCAATCCCTCAGCTATCCTCGGCACGATTTCATTGAGGCTTGACAACAAGGCCAAGGATGAGCTGCTTAGAATACCTCCTCATGAGGCCACCGATCTGACAGATCAGGGTCTAGGGAGTTTGTAATCATGTTGGATGGCATGACGGGTTGGGGCAAGGTCTGAGAGTCTTGCGGTCTGCGTTCAGCATATAGAGATTCGGGGATTGCAGCTTCAGCGCCTAGACCTTGGAATCGGGACGACGCTTTGGTCTTGCTTCGTGTTTGAAACGCGATCCTTTTGACGGAACATCTTGACGGTCGCTTGCTCGCAACAAACGGGTGTCTCTATTGGTGTTGCACTCCTGCAGCACCATCGACGTTGCTATGGTGATTTATTGGCACTGTGTTGACCAGTGCGCCCTGTCTGTCATCTTGATGACTTGACGACTTTAATTGCACTTTGGTTATCATGGTTTTGCGCTGCTCACTGTGTTTATTCTTGGTGTTGGCGCAGTTAATACTGCGATATTTCTCCGGGATGACAGGGGTATGGTATGATGTTGTCCAGACGCACTGGCACTTTCAAGCATATGATCGGTCTTGGTCGAGTAGAGGGTGATGGCAATTGTAGTGGTGGCGGTGGGTGTGGTTCCGTTGCTGTTGGTTAGTGGTCTGCGGGTGGGGACTATTGGCCGGCATGGCTCTGTTGGATGCGGCTGCTGATGACGGTGATGCTGATGAATGGTGGCAGTGCGGATAATGTTTGTCAATCATGAGGCTGAGCATGGCGAATCATAACGTGGTTCATTCCGGTTCCAAAGCATTTGGCTTCAGCAGCGCTGCTACTTGTCATCAGGCTTCTACATGCTACTACTAAACTCTTATCTGTCCTGTCTCTTGCATCGATCCTGGTCGAAGTGTAAACGTAAACGTAAACGCTCATGTGCTTAAACGCACACCCACACACACCCACACACAC